AGCAGTTAAATATAGAGGATACCTACAAATGTAGCCCAGTTACCTCTCGTTGTAGGTGCTTTAAAGCAAGAGGAAGTGCCACTGAAGTCTTCACACTCGCTGTAATTATAGCAGCCTTTATGTAACAGAGTCAGAGAACTGTGCTTTGGAATAGGTGGCACCTCACTTCCTCCAGAACTTTCAAATTAGGCCCTGCCAGGCTAATTTATTACTTGAAATGCAAAGAATTAAAAGCACGGCATCCAGCAGTCTGTTGGAATAAGAGCTTTAAATCCACAGAACTTTCCATGCCAGGACATATCCCAAACAGAAGAATCCTCTGTGCCACGACAAATCCCAAACAGCAGAATCCTTCCTTCACAATCCCTCTTTCTTTTGAAGCAGAAATCCATCCCGATTCCCGTGGTGGCTTTGAGGACTGGCCAGTACCACAAATGCCATCCCGTTTGCTTTGCCGGTCAGATGTTGGAAAACAGGGATCTCAGGAGGTTCTCCTGCCCCCACCTCCACCCCAAGGCAGAGCTGCTGCCACTGAACCAGGTTCTCACCTAATCTGTGTTATAAAACAGAGGAGGAGGGAGAGGGGGAAAGAAATGGCTTTAGAGGGAGGAGGGATAAGGAATTACTGATTCCCACAACATGCTGAGTTGGAAGGGACCCACAGAGATCATCGAGTCCAAGGCTTGGCCCTGCACAGGCCCATCCCCATGTGCCTGAGAGCAATTGGGCTGTGCCAGATAACTTAGGAGAGTGAGGGCCTGGCCTCCTTCCAAGGGCTGGGAGCAGGCTGTGCCTGCGGCGGATCGCCAGGGAATGCTGACGGGCCTTTTCCCTGCTGTTAATGGAACAGGTCCTTGGGCTGCTTTGCTGACTGCAACCAGAGCAGCATTCCAGGGGGGACAGCAATTTGCTCCCACAGGCCCCAGGATCCCAGGAAGGGAAGATGAAACCCAAAGTTTGTGTTCCGTATGAGGGATGCTGATGGAGAGGGCGGGTTTGGAGTCCTCTGGAAGGAGTGGATTCACATCCAAATGTGCCATTAACATAAGCACTAATGCTTTTGGTTAATGTGCCCTTGTGTTCTGTGGGAATTCTGCCTCATTTCTCCCAAGGACTGTCACAAACCCGGGATCGTGACCTCACGTGAGAGCAGGGAGAGGCCCTAAAGGACTTCCCTGCGTTGGGGTTTTGTTGCTCCGGGGTCGATATTCCCGTCCATCCTTCTGGAGGCGTTAGACCTGCAGTGCTGCTGCTCTGCTGGGCTCCCAGGGAGCTCCTGCTGGTGAGATCCCAGGTGGCAGAGGGATTTGTTGGAGTACAGAGGAGAGAGAACTTGCTGACTTACATTGCTGTTGGCGCAGTGCGGTGCTGGGGCGTTCCCTGACTTGGCAATCTGGTGCCATTTATTCCAAGAGCACTTTGCTGTGTTTATGCAAATAGTTCATTGCTACACGTCCTGAAAGAACCCCACAAGTGCTGTCATTTGATTGAGGAATCATCAGATCAGGCTTGAAATAAAATTTCCCGTGGTTCTGTGTTCGTGCCATGGGGGGAAAAAAAAAAACAAACCCCAAACCAGTATTCCCACATTTGGGTAGCTCAGAAATGGCTAAAGAATTGATACTTTGGGATAGATGGATGCACATCTCAAGGAGGTTTCCTTTGTGCTTGAGAAAAGGTGGGTTCTAATGAAGAAAAAGAAGGATGTAAATATTTCTAGTGGCATTTTCTGGAATCAGATTCCATTTGCTGTATTGACCCAGGGTGTTGGAGGGAGTGGCTGAGCTTCCTTTACAGCGAGGCAGCTGATTTTACAGAATATTCTGGGTTGGAAGGGACCCACAGGGATCATCGAGTCCGACTCTTAAGTGAACGGCCCCTACAGGGATCAGAGAAAAAAATGTATAATGCAGCAACTGAAACCATTCAAAAAATTACATTTTTTTAAAGGGTTAGACCTTGCAAAGCCTCAGTTCAGCTGATTTCCCTATTGGACGTTTCTTGGATAAATCACCTCATTAAAAATGGCCTTTGATTTAGAGTTCCCCCCTATACAGGGATTTGTACTTGGGCATTTTAGACACATGGTTGGGAAAAAAAATTAGAAATACAGGAACTCTTGCATTTTTTTTTTTTTTTTTTTTTTGGCTCTGTTGATAATTTTTTCCAGCTCAGGCCATGGAAACAAGTCTCTCATGTTCACACACACACGAGCTGATGGGTTTGGATGCTCGTTCCTTTAGTGTCAGCCGAGTGCAGAGCAAAGCTGACAGGTACCAGAGTCTTTCTCTGTGGCCTGAGGCAGTGGAATTCCCTGTTTAATAATGTCAGATCATCCGGATTCTCTTTAGGAAACAGGCCAGGGGTGATTTTGATCTCTCCAAACCTCACTTAATGCGTGACCCTCATCTTTTGTTGCAGTGGGGGTTTTTTTTCGTCTGTTTGAGCCGCTCCTTGGGGAGCTCAGCTCCAAAAGATGGAGCTTTTAAGTGCCTTCCTGTTGTACCCTTTCCATTTTGCTGAGCCATTCTAGAAGTTGAAACCAAAGAGATTTGACTTTTCGGAATCCCACAGAGATGGCCACCCGTAAATCCAGTGCCTTGCACAAGGGAATAGGGGTGGCTTGTCACTGAAATAAATTTGGAGCTGTTTTCCTTACCCTGTTTATCCATCTTCCCCTCTTCAAACCTTCCCTGCTCCCTGCTTCCGAGCTCCATCCATCTCCCTGTTCCTTCAGTATATTTATTATATTTGTATCACTTTTCAGATGACTTACAAGGGCGGGATGTGTCCCTCTCTCACCTCGGTGCGTTACCTCCTCGTGGATAAATTAACTCATAATATTCAAAACAGCCTTTGATTTCAGAATTCCTCTATAGACAGGGATTTGTATTTGAGATTTTAGAAACACGGCTGGGGGAAAAACTGAGAAATACAGGAGTCCTTGCAATTGTTTTTTTCTTCTCTGTTGCTAATTTTCTCCAGCTTCGACCATGGAAATGGGTGTTCAGTGTGGAAGTTTGGGCTGACTCAGGTTTGCTCTGTCAGTTCAGGTCTATCCCACGTCCTCTCCCTTGTGCTGGGAACAGGGTGTTATCCCAGGAGGGCAGGATTTGAGGATGCTGGAAGGGATTCAGACCCCCCCAACCCCAACTGAACAGCCCCATCACTGCATTTTAGGCACCCGAGTTAAATTCTTGAAGTAGGTTGTGCAATTTTCCCTTATGTTTAGATCTTTCCCGAGTACAATCCCAATTTAATGAGCTGTGTGTATTTTTATAGCATCTTTTAAGAGCCTTTCAAGTTGAGTCATTAAATATGTATTTTTAATAACCTCTGTGTCTTAAAAGCACAATGTGAAATGTAAGGACTGGAAATCAAATAGTGATTCCCCTGACTTCTGAATTAAATTATTTCATTACAAACCCATGTGAAGTTCAGACACTTTTTGTTCTTGTGATTTCAAAGCATTTTTTTAAATTTTGAGTTGACAAATGATTCTGATCGTTGATTGCTCAAATCTGTAACATCACAGATCCTCAAGGTGGGGAGGGAACCTGCTTTGTAGCACAGGATGTAAAAATTAACTCTTGTATAGGGAGTTTAATGAACATTTTAAAGACCATTTTAGAGCTGAGATCCTCCTCCTTCAGAAGAAGTACTAACTTGGGAATAATACCTGGCACAACTTCAGGGAACCTTTGATGAAATTTGTAAGAAACTGTGAATATGGTAAGAATAACACCTTTGGCTTTACTTCAGATGTTTTTTTGACACTTCCCAAGGGATTAGTGGGAACTCTGCAGAACTAAATGAAGCTTTTGGAAGGAAAAGTAGATGAAGCAAATGGAAAAGGCAAATAGGAAGCATTTGTGAACACAGCAATGTTGGATCAGATTGCATTGAAGATGAGATTTAAAGTAATTGTTTTAGTAAGGATAGGAAGTAAATTGCAAATTAGTCTCATCATTATTTTTTAATTGTCTATTTACTTTTTATTCACGTAGTGTTACACCAGAAGCTGCAGTCTTAAAGCTCCAGCAGGAACCAGTTTAGAGATTTTGTCTCTTAATAGAGTTATAAATAAGGTTCAAACTTCTGTTCTTTTAATTCTTAGTGTTCAGGGTTTGGTTTGCTCGTCTTCTTTTAATTCTTAGTGTTTAATCTTAGTGCCTTAGTGTTTAATTCTTGTTTCCCGACATGGTGTGTGGGGAGTTCTCCTCAGAAACAAACTGCTGTTCTCTGGGATCTTGAGGAAGCAAGGTTGTATTTTGTTGTAAATAAATCACAGAGTATTTAGGGTTGGAAGGGGCCTCTGGACATCATTTAGTCCAACCAGGGTCACCTGGAGCAGGTGACACAGGGACGTGTCCAGGTGGGTTTGGGATGTCTCCGGATTAGGGAGACTCCACACTCTCCCTAGGCAGCTGTTCCAGGGCTCTGCCACCCTCTGTGGAAAGAAGTTCTTCCTCGTGTTGAGGTGAAACTTGCGTTTTAATTTACGGCCACTGCTCCTCGACCTGTCCCTCGGCACCACCAGAGTCTGGCACCATCCTCTTGGCACCACCTGCCTCTGAGGTACTTATATCCATTAACGAGATCCCCTCTGTCTTCTCTAGACTGAGCAGATGTCGTTTTATTATAAATCAAATCTATTTTACTGTAAACCAGATATATTTTATTGCAAATAAACACAGAACCGCCGCCGTTGTTCGCGCCCCCCCCTCCCTGAGGGCACCGCCGGCCGCCGCCATCCCCGCCGGGAGGCGGCGCCCGCGGGCAGCGCCGCTCGCGGCCGGCGCGTCTCAGCCAATGGCGCGGCGGCGGCGGCGCGGCCCAGCCAATGGCGCGGCGGCGGTGGCGCGGCCCAGCCAATGGGGGTCGGCGGCGCGGCGGGCGGGAAGGCGCGGGGAGGGCGGGGGGCCCGGCGGGAGGCGGCGCCGCCGCAGCGCTGTGAGGGCAGCGCTGTGAGGGCAGCCCGGCCCCGCCGCCTCGCCGCGCTCCGCCGCCGCGCTCCCCCGGCCCCTCCGGCCCCGCTCCGCCCGCCGCGCTCCTCCATGTACGACAACTTGTACCTGCATGGGTTTGAGGACTCGGAGGCGGTGAGTGCCGGGGCGGGGGGCGCGCACGGGGACCCCCGCAGGCTGGGTGCGTGTGGCGGGGGTGAGGCGCTGTGGGGTGACACTGCGCTGCCCCAGAGATACCGGGACGGGCCGGTGTGGTTCCCTAGGGAATGATGCCCCCTCACCGAACGGGTCTGTGGCAGCAGGGCCCCCCCGGTGCCGTGTCAGACGCCCCGAACAGGATCGTTCCCCGCGGGGGTCCGGGTGGGTGTCCGTGTCCCGCCGGGATCGCCGCGGCCATGGACACGCCGGGCCATATTAAACAGGCATCTGTTACATAAGGCGTTGTGGCCAGCTCGTAAAACACACAGATCACAACAAAAAATATCGGGTACGTCAGTGCAGACGCACGGGGGGGATGATGTGGTGTCCCCAGGAGAGCCGGCGGGTCCCGTATCCCTTTGGATGGGGATTTTTTTCCCTGCCTGTGTCGGTGCAGGTGTGGAAGTGCAGCCCGTCTACGTGTTGCCTCGCGTAGCGGCAACTTGTTTTAGCATCCCTTTATTTCAGGGGGAGAGGAGCGACAACGCTGAAATGAACGCAATGCACCATGTCGAGAGAAAAACCTGTGCCTCCGAATCCCTCAGAACTGTGTGCCTGGAATATTTCAGAACTGTGTTTCTTAGCATTCCAGAATGGTTTGGCTTGGAAGGGACCTTAAAGCCGGTCTCGTTCCACGGGCAGGGACACCTTCCACCAGACCAGGCTGCTCCCTGCCCTGTCCAGCCTGGCCTTGGGCACTCCCAGGGATAGGGAAATTCTTCGGATCAATTTAGGAGTTCCTGCCCTTTTGGCATGTCCTGTTAATTTGTGCTTTGTGTTTTCTCTCGCTGCCGCTGCTCCCAGGCTGCCATGCCAAGTGCATATGAGTGTGTTAGTTCCTTTAGGGATGTGTTTTGGGATCCAGCTGGATGTTTCTGTAAACCAGGCGAAGCGTGAATTCTTGGGAGCTGTTCTCAATCCTGAATGTGTCTGGTGCTGGTATAATGTCTTTCAGCAGAGTATAAATGTGTTCTTAAGAAGACAATTTAAAAGTGCAGTGGTAGGGCTAAGAAAAAGGAGTTGCTGGATAGGGGTTGGTGTGGAAGAAATGTGTTACCTGTTAAAGTTCATTAGAGAACGCTGATACATGTGTGGTGGGATTTAAAGGTGCTTCTGAGGTGCTCAATTCCATGTATTCACAGAATCCCAGGGGATTGGAAGGGACCTCTGGAGATCATCCAGTCCAACATCCCCTCAAGGCAGGGTCACCTGGAGCAGGTGACACAGGAACCCCAGGTGGGTTTGGGATGACTCCAGAGAGGGAGACTCCACACCTTCCCTGGGCAGCTGTTCCAGAGCTCTGCCACCCTCGTGGAATGAAGTTCTTCTTCAGGTTGAGATGGAACTTCCTGTGTTTTAGTTTAAATTTCACGAAAGCCCCGCTGAGCTCTTCCAAGAGCATTGTTTGGGAAAAGCAGTTTTAATGGCAGCAGAGACTGACCTGCACACAAACATCTGCGTTAGGATTCGTGCTGGGGGGATCGTGGGATAGGAGAGAGGAACCAGGTCTTTGGCTGTCCACCTGGAGGGACGGGGATGAAGGAGTCATTTCCAGGTTCCCTAATATTCTCCTCAGTAATTCATGATAATGCTGGGTAATTTTACTCATTAACTGAGAATGTTTTTGGATAAACCTATTTTCCAGAATCATGGGAACGTGTGTGAAAATTTCGTTCTCATAAACAAAACAAAAAAACAAACCCACCCAAACCCTAAAAGCAATCTGTAGTCACACAGAGAAACCTGAGGCCATAAACCCCAAAGGCTCGGGCACAAAGCAGTTAAAATTCCCCGAGTGTTTGTTTGCTTTATCCTCCCGCACCACTTAAACCGCTGTCCCTTGTTATTTTGGTTCCTGACCCGAGGATTGGGAATGCCTGCTGGGACAGTCTCCCGGCAGACAGGTAGGGGCTGGCTCACACGAGGGTGACTCTCCAGCCGCGGAGAGCCGCCGCCGCGGTGGAATTAATTCAGTGCAAAACAAACCGGGGGAGAATTGTGGTTCCCTGCGGGCACGAGCAGATAACTGTGAGCGTGCAGAGATGAAAGGAAAGGCCTCCCTATTGTTCTGCTCTAGGACCTGGAAGGCTTATCCCGGCTGTCGTGCAGCTGGAGGAGCCCGAGCTCGGATCCTGTGCGTGCTCTTTCCTCCCCTGGAGCGCCGGGAGCCGTGATGGGAGGGCTCGTGCTAATTGCGGCGCTTCCAGCACGGAATAAACCTCGGCCACATGAGTCATTAGTGCAGGAGCTCTGCCTAAAGTGGGCATTTGCCCTCACAAAGCCCGGCCAGCCCGTGCAGTGTTTTAACCGGCATTCAAGGGAGAAGTCACTTCTGGAAAAGGGGCTGTAAAATTGATCCCTCGTTTCTCCTGGTAGATAATACACAGATGAACTGCTCAGAGAGCACCAGCAGAAGCGTGCAGGTGGGATTTTCCTGTTAAAAGCAGCAGCACTCTTTACGTTTAAAACCCCCCATTTTTGACCAGTGAACAGATCTATCAGTGATTTTTGTCCTAGCAGCTGTTGTTGTAGCGTGTTTGTGCGTGTGCATGGATATAAACCGTGCAAAACCACAATTTTTACTGCCTGCCTATAAAGCTACGAGCGTGTGCATGGCATTACAGCCCATCACCAGCTGTGATGATTAATGTGAAGTAGATGATGCACTAGTTATTGTGAGGCTTTTTGGAGGAGGAAGATTACACTGTTGAAGCTGAGAAAAGCTGCCAGTGACTGGAGACAAAAAGTAGTTCCCACGTTTAGGAAAAGAGGTGCAGGGATATGGGAGCAAACAACTTCTACAGGCACGAGTGTCCTTGTCAGGAGCACAGGAAGGAAGATGGAATTGTGTGACCACAGGGAGAAACATCTTCCCAGGGAAGATATTTTGCCAATTTGTTGCCGTGCCCTGTGATTTTGGGGGCTGTTTGTAGTGCTTTGGGTAGTTCTGACAGGGTCACCCCTTTGGGAATTAAAGCTGCTTTGCCGTGTAGGGAAGTATTTCATGTTCTTGGTAAGGAGAGAATAGGACATAAAGCCCCATTAGCACAGGGGCTTAAGACAGTGAGGTCCACTGGGGAAGCAAATAATGCAATGTTTTATTTTCACAGTGGTGAACTAATTGTTTTGTGTCTGAGGTGGGGAAGGGATCTCAGTGCTGCTCCATAGGCCAATCCAGAGTTTCCCAGTGCTCTTTGGTTTCAGGAAAGACTCCACATTTGTCAGAGTAAAACTTCAGTGACCCCTTCCCATAAGAAATCACTTTTTTTCCTGTGAAATTCCATTTCCGTTAAAGCAGCGTTTCATTAAAAAATTACCTCCGGGAGCTGGCAACAAGCAGAGCCCTTCCCAGCCCCTGGAAATGCTGGGAATGACACCTGGCTATGGTCAGTGTGTTTTACACCTGCAGAACAGGCCCTTTTAGGTTGATTGCTCGTTTTTATCCCCTGAGAGCCACAGCTGAGCACACAGAACATCCTCCCTCCCCTCCCAGGGGTGAGTTTAGGGCCTGTCAGCACAGGAGGGGCTTTATCTGGGCTCTTGGAAGGGTTATCTGGTGGGGGGAACAGCTGCCTGTGGCTAGGGAAGTTCAGCTGGGTTCTGTGAGGAGCAGGGAGGGCTGGCATGGGATTAGAGAGGGCAGGGAAGCAGGGAAGGTGCCAGGGGAGGGAGGGTGCTGTGCAGTGTCAGTGCTCTGGCAGAGCTGGTGACAGCTCCACGTGCCTGCCTGCTTGGCCAGGGCAGCCTCTTCCTCCTCGAGTCCAGGGCATCTGAGATGGAATGTCGTTTGTACCTTCACCTTCCCCCTGTTTTTGTTCATATTTAGATCCTGACTGGATTTCCATGTGGCCTCTGATCCCTAAAGGAGATGGGAAGGTGGCTTTGCTTGCCCCGTGCGTCCCTGTTGTAGTGATTTCTTTAGTAACTGCTTTTCCCTGTCTGCTTTTTGTCCAGTCTCCTTCTCCCGAGCCATCTTCCTTTCTAGGCTTCTTTCAGCTGTTTGACCTGCATGTAACCCTGCCTGCCTTCCCTGGGGCAATTCCCATCCCTGCATCCACAGCCTCCCTCCTGCTGCTCCTTCCCCTTCCCAGGGAAGCAGGACTTGGCTGTCCTGCTGTGCCAGCCAGGGGGATGTCCTGCAGTCAGAGGTACTGGGCAAGTTCAGGCTCTGTCACCAAGAGTCAGATGAACACTTTTGGTGGGGTTCATGCCCACAAAAATATTTTAGATCCTGAAAGTGCTTTGGTGTTCATGGGAGCCAAACACCAGCGAGACTGACCCTGGTAGCTGATGTTCAGTCTGACACCAGAAGGGCCGTGGGCAGGACTGTGTGTGCTGCTGCATTCTAGGGTTTATCTCCAGTTATTCCATAAAATCCTTGAGAGATTGCTGAGAATTTTTAGGAAAGAAGCCATGGGAATAGTGGGAGAACACATTTCATTGAGCACAGGGATGGTCAGTGTTGTGAGGACACTGTACTCCCCTGCCTTCCTCCTGCTTGGTGACATTACTCCTCTCATCACTCACTGCTGCTGCTGCCAGTGTACACTTTTCCCATGGCAGCTGAGACAGGAAGATCCACGTGCTGCTCAAGTAGAAAAACGTGATTATAGAAAAACAAACCTTGGTAGGGAAGCTCATACTCAAATATCAACTGGATTTCTGTCTGGTGCCTCTCTGATGGCTAAAGGAGAAGGGAAGGTGGGCTTTGCTTGCTCTCTTCATCCTCTCAGTTGCTGTAGGTTGAGTAACAAATAATCAAAATGTGTATTTAGAAGCGTTTTCCATCTTGTGCCTTTAGTCAAATAAAAGCTGGGACTTTCGTGGGGTTGGGAGGGTTTCAGTGGTCATTGGGTGCATCAGGTCTCTGCTGAAGTGTTCAACCTGAAGATTGAAGGTGGACAGTTGAGATCTGAAGGTCATCTCACGGGGCTTGA